AACAACCCAACATTTATCAGCACCGAGATTAAGGGTATATATCTTTTTTCTAACGTTTAATGGGAATACGTCACCAAAACTACAATAAAATCTTGTTTAAAAAAGCATTCTAAAGAGTGAAAACTGGCATATTTCAAGCTTTACTATGATTTAAGAAATAATTTAGATCAACTGGCTCATACCCCATCTCCGCTTTTTTTGTTCATTTTTTTTAGACTTAGTGCCCGTTTCCACAGACAATGATATCGCAAACAAGTGTTCAATCTATAAAGGAATACATTCCTACAAATTGTTTCTTTAGTCAAGTGAAACAAGAAAATTCATAACTATGCATGGGCGGCGGAGGGAGGTGGTTGAGTAAATTTATTTGAACACATTTCAATAGGTTAAAGAAACAAGTTCACCTTGGTGTTAACAAATACGTTAAGACAGTATATCTCAACTGAAGAGTGATAAAATGATATATTTTATTATGCAACATACAGACGATTAATTTCTACATTCAAGTTGAACCGATTGTATCTATTTTAAGGCTGGTGTTGAGCTGAATAAGCTATATTCAGTGGCGGGGTTGCCCTTCTATGTACATAACTGAACTATTGTTTATCCGAACTACAGTTTAAACATATAGTCCATGTGACAGGCAGAACTTCATTACTAATTTAATGAATTGGTTTAACTATGATTTTCAGTTAGCCTTAGGTCTAAAGTGTTCAAAACTGGTTAATTGACTTCCGGTCACTTTGCCAAATGTCAGTTTGGTGGCCATCTTTAAAAATGACCGCCGTTTTTTTTATTTAAAATAGTGCGAGTCGAGGACGCCTTCATAACATTCAACAGATTCACCTATGGATATGTAATTCAACAGTTTTACCTATGGATATGTAATATAGCTCAAAATGTTCATAATATAATTCTGCATCTGCTGGTATATGATATATGTTGTTTAATCAATACTGTCAGTTCTAAAATAAACGATTAATCTGAAAACCCCCCCAATATTTTCGATTTTTTTTTTCATGTCTGTTCATAAGTTTATTTGGTCTTTTTGGTCAACTAAAGTGATTTAATAGATATCAGAAACATTGATCATTAAAAATAATCTCTAATATGAGTGTCTCAACTCCAAGATGGTGGAAATTCAAAATGGCAATTAAATTTCCTAAAATGACCAATTTGTCAGATAATAGTCATTTCATTGTTTGATATGACATGTACTATCCAATTGAAAGGGTGCTCAGTGTTGCTGAACTTACAATTAAAGATACATTATGTAAGATTTAGATAAAGAGCTAGCCATTCTTGCTAAATAGTTCGAGAATAGATAATGTAAAATGAATAATTTGAAAATTTGACAACGTACTGGTTATTCGAAGCTAATTCTCGCTCCTCTATTTTTAGATTAAATCAAAATATGGCTGAACCGTTCTAATCTATTTAATATCGGAGAAATCCGATGCCACCGAGAGTTGATTCAGTTAATTAATGTCTAATTAATAATTTAGAAAACATTTCAGGCTTAAAGAAAGACCTGCAATAGGCAGGTTTAGCTCTTGCATAATGTATGTTTCATCTAAACAAAAAGTTTGAAAAATCCAAGATGGCGAAAATTCAAAATGGCGGCCAGAATTTCCGTAAAATGAATGGGTTTTTTTTAGAAAATCGTCAATTTTCCGTTTTATATAGCTTATAATATCTCTTTAATAAGGTTTTCAGAGTCACTGAACTTGCATAAAAACTCAAAAATGAATGCTGAAAATGATGTTAATGATAATGCTAAAAATGACACATCTTATCCGACCCTCATCCCTGACCCCACAAACAATACAATGGGGCATATGGAATTGATTATACTGGATCTCACAGATCAAAGACATTTCACCAAAATAGTGAGTCATTTTAATTTCATCTCCTATGCCTTTGCATCATGTTTAGCCGTATTGAGAACTATTTATGATATATCCAGTTATTAAGAATTTAAGTTCTCTTATTCGTTCAGAAATGGAAATGGGGTCCGTTTTTACATTAAAGACTCTATGACCGGCAACTCTTGTCGTATAGTCTAGTAGGCCTGCAGCCAAAATTTTTAGCTTGCTTAGAAACACAGTTCCGCTTCAATGTCCTCCCTACTAAACAAACTATACATTTTTGGAAAGCTTATAACACTAGGAACACAAATCCAAGATCACTGTTTTAAGGCCAGATGAAAATTGTGATAATTGTCAAGTAAATGCTATATTTATACTGACAATTGTGAAGTTGACATAAAATTACACATATGATACCTAGGATAGGACAGGCTTATCTTTGCTCCGTGAGGTGAACGACAGGGTTTTCTCCATCCAGACTCGAAATTTCTTTTGAAAAAACTGACTGTAAATGGTGCTTTCTAGAGTATATCCTGGTGTTTTTAGCTGATGCATATATCTTAATAATTCATCAAAAACGACGTAAATTCATGACTACGCAAGAACATTAACTAGTTTATGGCCCCCCGAAACTACCATATTCATTTTGAGTGTCCATCCCTGAAAAGGGAGGCGAAAGGTATGATGTTAAAACGTGTTTCAAATTCCCGCATTACTTGAATACTGTAATTATCAGTAAAAATACGCCATATAAGGTTGAACATCTGTGGCGGAAAATAAATCTACATGGCCATAAACAGATTTATAAATCTTTAAAAAACAATGTGAATAAATTAATTGAAGACGCTAAAATTAAATTTTACTCTGATAAAATAGAAAATGGCGAAAACAGACAAAAAGACCCGTATAAAGTTGTGAATCCCCTTTTGGATCATAATGCTGAGCGGACTATTCTCCCGGACAATGATAATGACATTGAACTTGCGAATTTATTCTCTGATTTCTTTCAAATAAAAATACGGAAAATACGACCTGAACTTGATGATTTAAATAAAACTATTGACTTTAACTCTCATGATTTTGATAAGTTAGAAATTTTTTTTTATTTAGAAAATTGTAACTTGTTTATTCAATCTTTTGTTTTAAAGCTAATTAAGCCGTCTGCTCCTAAACCTTGTTCATTAGATCCTGTTCCGACTCCTGTTCTTAAGGACTGTCTAGACGAAGTTATTCCACTTTTTTACCAATATTATTAATTCTTGTATATCATCCTCTACGATTCCCAACGTTTTCAAACAAGCTTATGTTACCCCTTTAATTAAAAAGTTTACACTGGATCCTAATGTTTTCAAAAATTACAGACCTGCCTCTAACTTAAGTTTTATTTCTAAATATTGGAGAAATCTATTGCTTCTCAGATAAAGGTCCATCTAGATGATAACTGTTTGTATGAACCATTTCACAGTGCTTATAAACAATTTCACAGTACCGAAACAGCTTTAACCCGGGTTTCAAATGATATTTTAATGGAAATTGATAATAGAAAATGTACATTTTTAGTTTTATTAGATTTATCTGCTGCTTTCGACACGGTGGACCCTTCCTTTCTTCTACGCAGACTTCAATTTAAATTCGGTATTTGAGGTTCTGCATTTAATCTTTTAGAAAGCTATCTTGTGGGTAGAAAACAGTGTATTTTAGTTAATTGTAAATCGTCGTCTGAATCTGTTTTGTCATCTGGGGTTCCTCAAGGTTCTGTTCTTGGTCCGATTTTATTTACCCTCTATACGTCACCATTAGGTGATATTGTCAGAAAATATGGTCTCAGCTTTCATTTGTATGCCGATGATACTCAATTATATATTTCATTTACACCTAAATGTCCATCTTCTTTCAATTTATCAAAAGTGCAACTTGAGAACTGTATTAGTGAAAGTAGAAAATGGATGTCAAAGAACTGTCTAAAATTGAATGATGATAAAACCGAATATTTGTTATCAGGCTCAAGGCATCAATTAAGTAAATTTGCACATGATAACCCCCCTGTTGTAATTGGTAATTGTGATATATTGTCATCTTATTCTGCTCGTAGTATTGGCGCAATCTTTGATAGTTTTATGTTTATGGGAGCTCAAGTAAATAATATATGTAAATTGTGCTATTTTAATATCAGAAATATAGGTAAAATACTTAAATTTGTAACTGTAGAGGCCACTAAGTCACTTGTTAATTCTCTGGTAACTTCTGGATTAGATAACTTTAATTCACTTTTAGTTAGTTTACCTTTAAAGCTTATAGAAATTACAAAAAGTACAGAATACTGCAGCTAGACTTGTTACTTTAACTAAGAAATGTGACCACATAACTCCTGTTTTATACAATTTACACTTGTTACCTGTTAAATATCGAATTGATTTTAAGATTTTATTACTTACTTTTAAGTTACCAGCGCTCTTTTAGTTACCAAGCACCTGTTTTATGGAATAATCTACCATTTAGTTTAAGATGTTGTATATCTCTATATTCTTTTAAAAAACAACTTAAAACACATTTATTTAATCAGGCTTTTAACTGACTCCGTATACAATCGTTAATATGTCCATAATCTTAATTGTCAGCCCCATTCCATTCCATTTCAATGAAATGACAGCGGCCATTGTTAAAGATGGCCGCCAAAATGGAATTTAGCAAAGTGACCCGGAAATCCATCAACCAAATTTCAACAATTCAGCCACCAGGCTAACTGAAAACCATGGCCCCCAATAGATTGGGAACCTATGTGGGGTTCTCTCCTTGCTTTTATAAAACTGATCGTAAAAAATATTTTCTGTAATTTGTTCCGATGTTTCTAGCTTACGCACCCACACACACCACACACACACCTTTCAGTGCTATACCATATTAATGACCCGGCCCCGGTTTCACAAAACATTCCCAGGTTTAAGTTAAGAATTTACTCAAAATTGTTTGCCTTATTTTAAGTTTTGTGTTTCTGGATCAAAGATATTTCCCATAAATAGTGATTGAAGGTTGAGCAAAGGTTTAACTTAAAGCTTTGGGAACTCAGGGACTGGTGTATTCTCTTACATTTGCTGAATCGTTTAGGTTAAATAAATGTTATAATTGACTAACCTTGTCACATGCATCTGCTACTCCACTTCAGCTAAACGAGTGACGCAACACTGTTCAGAACTTCTATTTATGTTCGGGATTCGTTTAGAACAGAATATATAAGTTGTATACGCCCCTAGAAGCTTTAACGAACTGAACAAAGCCGTATATTGATAAAGTTACAACTGTGAAGCCAGAAATTCCATATGACTTCATGAAAATATGACACCACGTGTACAAAAAAGCCATCTTGAGTCCCAAGTAATTGTTAACTCACTAGGCCTATAGTATTTCACATTACACTGAACAGGATATCTGGATTTAACTGTATTATATAGAGTTATGGTTGTCGTTAAATAATACTGAGCTCGGAAATGGTCGTCGTAATTGCTCCGAGCAAAATAGACGACTTTTACAAATTAAAAGTCTTCCCAAAATTAGCATTCTGTCCCAAAATTCATATTGCTTTTATTAATTTCACTCCACATTTGGTATGTCTTAAAGTAGCTAAGTCTCTAACTCAATATCATCTAAAGTTTTCAAGATTCGAATTTCTTTTTCTAGAATCACTATAAGTGAAAGATCCTGAATATTATCTCAAGAAATATAAGACAAGAGTCTATTATTATCGCGATGGAAATAGTTTTAAAATCATTAATCCATTACGTAAATTGTTTATTATTGTTCCATAGATTAATCAAATATTATCGATAAAATCTAAATCGTTCAGAAAATAACGTTTATAACCCAATCTTTGGAACCGAGTAGACGTTTTTACACCATTTTATTTATAGTCTTTTAGAATCATTTAGTAACTATAATACATATTTATGGAAAACCGCTACTATTTTCTCAATGTTATCAATCTAAAATCGTAATACAAATTGCGGGGCTAATATATACTGAAAAAATATAACAAGAAATCATGAACCCATACATGATCAAAGGACATGATTATTAATATAGAATGAAATTTTATGATTACCATATATATTTCATACACATATTTACATAATAAACTGTTTTATCTGTATATATAGCGCTAAAGTACTTATAGTATGAAATGTTTTTAGAACAGGGCCGTGTTTCACAAAAACTTAAATCTCCTTAAAATCGTCTTAAACTAAAATTCCATCCTAACTTAAGATAGACGCCTTTCACAAAACGATTTTAAGCATTTTAGATAAAATCCACTAAATAATATTTTCAGTTAAAATTATATCTTAACTTAAAATAGTGGCGTTTCACAAAACTATTTTAGGGACAATTTTAACTAAAATCAATTTTAACTTAGGACAGCCGTCACCCTCTCCTAACTTAAAATCATTAACAAACATTGATTAGAGCTACGTTGTTAGATCTAATCCTTTAGTGGCATTTAGCAATTGGAAACATAACAAAACTGACACAGTTATATGGGACAACAATCACTGGTTTATTATACACAAGCACAACGTTTCGATAAGTATTCTCTTATCGTTATCAAGCACAATAACGATAAGAGAATACTTATCGAAACGTTGTGCTTGTGTATAATAAACCAGTGATTGTTGTCCCATATAAGTGTGTCAGTTTTGTTGTTAGATCTATTGCGACATAAAGATATATTTGGAATAATGATAATATTTGCCAATGGCCAAGGTTATATAATTTAAACATACTATTCATTCAATAATTTTCATTCAATTTCTTTTTATTGCATGGGAAATATAGCTGCGGCCGGCCCACCCGTTTATTGTAAAACAATATAGGCAATTAGATGACGCCCTAAACTAAAACCCCAAGAACAAAAAACCCATCAAAACCCCAGTAAACAAAACTCTTTACTATTTTATGTATTAGCATATGATTCAAATATAAATTATACTATTTTCAAATAATTAATAAACCAAAAAAAAACCTAAAAAAATAAAACCAAACTCACTTCATATCTAATATCTATAAAAATATCTTTGTTGGCCTACAATTGTTTAAAATGAGTAGAGAGAGAGAGAGAGAGAGAGAGAGCGAGAGAGAGGGGTAGGGGGTTAACGTCCACTCGACACAAACTAGGTCATTTCGGGACTACACGGTTCAATTTAATTTCAGTAATTCGCTTGCGTGTAGTGGTCTTTAGTAGTGGGTGGAAGCCGGAGAAAATCCACGAGGTTGGACGGGCGACCAGTATTCATTAAGAACAAGGCACCAACACTTGCAACAAATGATTTCCAGTGATACTAGGTTCCCACGAACATACGAATTAAATCGTTTGAGAGATTTGTTTCATTAAAGCGGCATTAGGTAAGATTAGATAAAGAGCTGACAGTTCTAGCTATAATAGTTAAAAAGAGAGAGAGAGAGATAGAGAGAGAGAGAGAGAGAGAGGAGATGGGTTTAACGTCCACTTGACACAAACTAGGTCATTTCGGGACTAACATATTTTATTTCAATAATTCGCTTGCGCGTAGGGGTCTTTAGCAGTGGGAGGAAACCGGATGACCCGGAGAAAACCCACGAGGTTGGACAGGCGAATCTACTCCTTGTCACGTACAACCGGGGATTCGAAACCACGCCAGGTGACTCAACGACAGGCCTTATGATACAGCACGCACGTGCTAACCATTCGACCCCCCCCCCCCGAATTAAATCGTGGTTTTAATCGTAGGGTATTCGTGGTGATCCTGTCAGAGGTCTTATTATAGGGTGCTGACTGTTTCGTAACCTGGCTGTTTCGTACTTACTATAGTTCATTCATACCTCACATGACACATGAGCCGTATTATATATTGAGGTCAGTCGTAGCAAACGTATCGAAACGTATCCGAACGTAACTGCGCGTGGCAGATCGTGGACTCAAAAGGGACAATCCTATCGTAACGTATCGCATGACAGTAGGAATCTGGCATAAGTCCTAAGAGCGAACAGATCGGTCTGCGTCCAGCAACTACAATTTAATCATACTTGTACATATTAGTAGATGCACAGTCGGCAAACTCGGCAGATTCCGGTACCCTACATTAGATTCGTAGAATCTGCCGAGGTTTGGCGAATGTGTTGTAACTGAATAATATGTCCCAATCTTTATTCTGGTCAACAAATTGTACTATTTTACAATATTCCTATTAATTGATGATACAAATTCTATCTTAACACACCTAATTTAAAACATTGGAAAATTTCAACTTAATGATTTGAAAAGCCTAACGTAAACCTTTTCAAATGTGACTTGGATTTAAAAATATTTTCGAACCCTCTGGACAAGTAAAATAGGATGTAATGGATAATTTACACAACAGGTAGGACACTTAAACATCTAGTGCTTAGAATAAGGCTATTATTTATTTTCTGAAGCTGTCAAGCCAGCAAGAGTGTTATTGTCCCTTTAAAGCCCCAAAAACACTTTAGAGAATTAAAACTTACAGACACTCACACAGTCAACGATAGCTAAACTCTTCTTACTAATGCCCGTCTTCATTAGCCCAGTAGATGCAGAGCAGTGGGAAGCCAAATCCCATTTCATTTCTTACTAACGCTACACGATATCTACACAATAATTGAAGTTTTTTCTCAAGTAAAAGTAAAATTACATCAAACGTTACTCGCGCTTAGAACCTATTGCTAAAATGTGTTCAACAACCATGTCTATAGAAACCTATAAAGCTCGCCCCTGTCTATTAAAGAGGAAAACTAGATGACTACAGAGCCGCCGTGCTTCGCGTCCAGGGGTTAGCTGACATGGAGGAGCGGAGAGGGGTTTGTCCCGTAACACATGCAAACATTTTGACTAAATTTGTATTACCAGACACTGTACCATTATCGATCAAATATTGATTTTAGACTAGTTCATGTTGATAGCATATATATGACCAACCGATCGTCATTTCGGATTACAACAGCTAATTGACAAACATTGGAAGAACAATTATTAGAAATTGTGGGTGTTTCTTCCGTTATTCATAAATTTCGTGCTACAGAAACGTCTACAATGAAAATTAAAACGATAGATAATATTACTAATCTGTGATAAACAATGGATTATCTATATCACAAATCAACACGTGTACAATTATCCAAATAATCATTTTTCTCCTGTATTCAGAATAATTTGAAATACGAATATACTTGACAGCCGAGACTTAGCTTCGATTTTCCATTTTATCGTTAAATTTTGGACATACGATTATTAAGAGAGTCGATTTTAGGTGGAAAATGAAGAACAAGATGATTTAAGAAAACGTCTCCCGGTTTCCTTGAATTAATATAACACCTTTCTAGAGGTGGGTCATCCTGCTATTGTACGTAGAGGGACCCCTGGTATGAACTGACATAACGGCGAATCTGTGCCCACTTTAATCTGTTGATTCACCATCGAGTACACCTGACCCTATCCCCGCTTAAAAAAGAAAAAAAAAAGAAACAAAAAGGAAGAAAAATAAAACTGAATCAAGGAACAATGTCTAGTGGTTCGTGTGGGTCCAAAAGCCGAGATCCCTTGTACATGTTGACGTGCGCGTAACAGAGTATTAAAATTATTTAAGCTCATAAATCTGATAGATGCCATCGGCATGCATATTTCAAAATTATTTGCTTGAATCTATTGATCAATATTAATTGTCTTGAGGCGGAAGGATAACAGATCTAAGGAATTGCTTATATCTAGTATGCTATTTAGAAATTGTGTGGACGGAGGGCGGCTGTCTAGTCCTACGGATGAAACGGAAAACCGAGGTCCCGTGTACACATTGGCGTGCACGTAAAAAATCCCTTGGCAGTTGGAATTCGATATAAGCGTAAATCGTAACGCCGTTGTGCGGGCAAAATATCCCTGTTGTAGGGTGCCCCGTGGCCGAAACTTTTCCCTACTAAAAGTTGTACTCGACACGTTGAATGTGCACGCTTCAGTGGCGTAACTCTAATTGATTTCAGACGAGTCTCGGACTCTCTTTGTGTCTATAAATAGCTACAACACGTGAAATTCTCAACACTTGTAATAACTATAACAGACGTAAAAAATCTATTGTTGACGATTCTGAATAGCAGTAATATTTAGCTTTTTGGTTATTACTGCAGCTTTATAAATTACGCTCGTTTTATTTTTTAAATTGCTTTATCATTAACTAGACCGTAAGGAGTGGCATCTTTTGGTTTAGTACAAGTAATATCTCTGAATAACGCGGGTTAAGCAGGAAAATGATACTAGCAGTAGTTTCATTTTACTTTTACAAGGTTCTTAAAACAATTTCTGTGTCGCCCACCGGGCGTTATTTGTAAATTCAATTTCTTGTTCT